ACACACACACTCACACACCAAGTTATATATGTATGTGTGTATACAGTACACACACACACACATACACACACAAGAAACAAATTTGGAATAAGGAAAACATTGGTCAATAACGAAAATCATAACTTCAACAATTAAAGGTATCACAAGCATATGAATTAAGCATTTAAAGCTTAATAAATGTCACCTACAGGTCAGAAGCGAAAATGAACCACGTCCCAAGAGAGTAGGTACATCAGCTGCATTTGGAGCATTTCCACCACTCGTACCTCTTGATGGTGGGGCTGCACTTGAAATCAATTGCTTCAAAAGCTTTACCAAATGGTCATTTTCAATGTGAGGATACCTATACGACGAGGAAAGGGAATCAATAGGATATTATAGGAAAATAACAAATATAATACAATCATACTTATTTCCTTCAAGGACTACGCTTACTGGCGTGAAAAAGTTTGGAACAGAACTATCAGAACAAGCAGCAGCAAATAAAAAGTGTGCCCTACATGGGTTTTAGAAAGAGGATCCCCAGAAAGACTAAGATCTACAAAACGTCCATTTGAATTGAGATGAATGAAACAAAGACTACAGCTGCTGGATAATATCTCATGATCCCAAAAAGTCATGACAGAGCTACAAGTAGATTAAGGTAAGCAATCACACCACCCTCCAACCATCCCAAAAGAAAAAAAAAATTTAATCAAGTTTCAAAAATTAATAAATAATGTAAGAGTCGCCCATATAGAAAACAGCATACAAACTTGAACAGTGCCGGCCAGAATCCAGATCATACCCACTGTTTATTCTCAGAAAAAGAAAAGAAGAAGAAGCAATAAAGAAGAAATGCTTCTATGTAATTAACTCAAAAACAAGTAGAAAACAACTCATGAAAGGAAAAAAAAATTGTTTTATGAGTTATATCTATGTTATCATTTTTTTAGTTAGAACAGCATGATAAAAAAATAGCTATTGTTTTTCATTTTATGATCTAAGTCTGTCTAAGTAATTAATTAATGCCACACAATATTGAGTATCACAAGACGCAGTGAAATCTAATGAAGGTTACCTAATAACTGGCTATTATAAAGGTCGACTTATAAAAAATAAAATAAAAAGGCAAATTACATACCTGTGCACCAGCATATTGTAATTTAAAGGAAATGACTTCCCATCATCATTTTCATCCTCGCTGTGCATACCCTTCCTTGAATACCAAGCATGATATCTTCTAGGTAAAAGTTGATGTTCAAGAAGTTCGTTCCACAACTGTCCACAAGTTCTATGGCATGGGCCAGCTGACAGAAAATGCATGATAAGAAAATACACTTCTCTGATGTCAATATCCGCATCAGGCTCCTTAGCATGAGTTATATAAGTTGTCTCTAGATCCTCAGGTTGATTCTTGTCATGCACCTTACTGAGAAAGCTCAAAGGTTTCATACTAACAGAAGGTGCATCACGAGAAGGAAATTTTTGAAGAGCCATAGCTCCCGTAAAACCTACAAGTAAAAGTAAGTGAAGGTAAGTGAAGATTAAGGCACAGTGGTAACTTGACAATGAAAATTAGAAAAACATGCTCTTTACAGAAACAGTGCCAGACACCACAAACATGGACTCCTCTGCATCCATAAGTTGGAAACCAGATTGGACGGTGGGAATCCAAAATAAACTAAGATTAGCTCATCAACAAACACCATCTAGGTAAGCAAACACTTGTTTAAGTCTCAAACTCCAAAACCCTAAACTAAACCATAGGGTAAAATGCAAACCGAGTCCCGACCATTTTAACATTCACACCAACACCATATGAGCAACACTAAAAATCAGATAACATTCAAGATAATCGGAATACCTATTAGAAACTCCTAAATTGAACCTAATTGAAACAATCAACTAAAATTACCTCATTAGGAAAACAAAACCACCAGTTCAATGAGTCATACAATTGATTTAACCAAATGGGCAATCCAAAGAAACCCAAAACACCATTACCACACTCATGAAAACCCTTCACATTCCACAATCCACAATGCACTCCTCTGTAACAACCATTAAAACCCTAAAAATTCAATTCCGTTGCACTACAATACAATTCAATACAAACACACAGACAAACAAAGCAAAACACAATTTGTACAAAACCCAATAACACAAAGCCCTTGTCTAAATTCCCCGAGCAAGAAAAAATACATATACCAAAGGGCAGAAAATAATTAAATTCCAAAAAGAAAGTATCTTTCTGTGAGTACCTTCAAGACGGCATCTTTCAGTAGATTATAGTGGCGTCTGCTTCCAGAATTTAGAATCCAGAGGGGGGAAAACCAGAAATTTAGAACCGGAAATAATAAAAAATCAATTCAATTTTTTCCTTTGAATTAAAAGGAAGAAATGGGAAGATTGGGAATGTCAGAGAGTGTGTTACACGCGCCAAAAGAGGGGCTCTTTTAGATTCTTAGAGCGAGCTCTGGGGCTTTTACTTGCTTGGATTTTCCACTCTCTCTGTGAAAGAGGTGAAGGAAGCCGAAAGAATAAGGAAGCCACAACAGGCTCCAAACGCAGCGTTTTGGACCTTTATGCCCCCTCTACTTCTCCCGTACAGATACTTGTCAAGCAAAAACATTTTTTTTTTTTTTGGTAACTAGCAAAAAACACTTTTGCATGCGTTGCGACGTGTAACGGCGTCGTATGGTCCTCTCTACGTTGTGTTTATCGTACTTTCACAGCTCAAATTTAATTCAAAAGTTTTAGTTTTTTTTTTTTTTAGGAAAAATTCAAAAGTTTTGGTTAGGGCATCATCTGCGCTATTACAACGTCTAGTTTTCTACGGTTGTCCATTGGGCTTTGTTTAGTGGAATAAATTTTGAGCAGCGTTATCCCCATTCTCATTTTCATTTTTCACATATTTTTTAGTTTTTCGACATCAAGTCAAATGAATTGAAGAATATCAATGATAAAAAATTAACAAGAATATGTCAGAGGTAAAAATAAGTGTGAACAGTACCATCAGTTTCTTAATATCTTTCACAAGTATGTTGTCTTTGTAAGAACTAACAAATCTATAAGGAAATCAAATCAACTTAGACTTTTTTCAATCGGTAATAGTATTTTGAATGTGCAAACTTGGCACACTATCTATATCTAATATAATTGGACCATCATGCGACTCATTTGTATTGTGTCTATTTTTTATTAACAAATGTATTGATTTTTATTGTGTCTAAATAACACTATTATTTTTCATTATGCATTACAATGCTTGACAGGTTTATTGCAAACATAACATTATTAGGAGGAAAATCTTTTTTGGAATTAAATTATAGAAACGGAGAGTAGAGTACCAAGAAATTTATATAGCATGAATGGCCTCAAAAGTTTTGAAAATTCTCCGATACACATCAAGTTTGCACATCTAACTAGCATATTGAAACAAGGACTGTTAGATTATTGTTAAATCAACCGATCTAACAGTTTTTTCTTCAGTTGTGTAACTTAAATATGCAATTTGATATGCATGTCTTTCAAAAGTTGAGCTCAAAAGACCTAGAATGGGCCAGAACGGGAGCCCAAGAGAGGAATTATTTGGTTTGGGCAAAAGATGGAGCCCATATTAAGCCTAAAGGACCAAACTTTGCTTCTGTGAACCCGAGCCCACTATTAAAGACCAATCCCTATGCCAAGTAGACAATCCACATATACAAAGTCGCAATGGATTTTAGGCTAACTTGCTAAGGACTTTGAAAATATGATTAAATGAAATATATTTGAAATATTTTTTAATGACACTTTGAAAGTTCTTTGTCTAGTCATTTTTTAGTGCAATTGTAGTGAATTTAATATAATTTCGTTGATTGAGTGAGAATTTACATGTAAAGAAGTGTACTTGGCATAAGCATTGGAGAGAAAGCAAACAAGATACTAGACGCTTAGGCTCGATCATCGGTGTTATTCTTTCAAGCCACTTTTCCCCCGCTCAGAGCAAATTGAAGAGAATTAAGATCCGATATACTCAAATTCACCCAGTTATAAAAAGATAAAATCATTCATTGCTTGAGACCAAATAACATTTTTTGTGGAAGATCACAAACTATTACTCCAGTTGAGTATAATGCATCAAGTCCCCTTAAGAGTGATTTGCAATTAGCGAATCTCATGTTTGATTTCGCAAGCAAGCAGCCAACTGTTTCTTAAGTGAGAGGTTGGCTGCAATCGAGGCCTAACTGAGGCTCACCCAGTTCAAGTGAAATTTTGCAAGTGCCAGCTTAATCCAAGTTCCAATCCGAATGTGAGCTTCAATGAACGCCAAGATTTGATGTACAACTCTTTACCAAAAACGGGTATAAATACATATGCAAGGACTTACAACAACTTCAATTCAAATTGCTTCTTTGATTTTATGAGCATGCATTGGGTTCTAGCTAGATCAATTAAGTCTGCTATATATGTATCTCTGAAACTAAAGATTATCTGGTTTACCAATTTGGCCATACCTTGCACATCAGCAGTTTCATATGTTTAGCAATTAATTGTTTAAGATATTCAAGATTAATTCCTGGGTTAGCACCCGTTACCAAATACATTTTACATCTACCAATTTTTATTAGCTAGGGCATGTTATCTGAATTTCATATTTTTATCACTGAAATATTTCGGCTAGAAATCAAGTTGTCAAATTTGTTCAACTGATACAAGAGGACGTGGTGCTTTCCGATGCATAACCCATAATCAAACTTTGGACCTTGACTACAAAGGTAAATACTCTTAACTATATGAGCACCTGAGTACAAGCCCATTGCAGAATCTATCATTATATAGGAGTAATGATTAGTAGATAAATAATAATTATTAAGCAATTGTTAGGCAGTTACCATAGTTAAGGCTCTTCAAGGATGGTTTTAAAGCCAATGAATGTCAACACGTTATTGTTTTGCCGTTATGATGTTATTAGATGTTTTAGGCTAGAATTGCATTTCTGTTTGTAACTATTAGGTTAGCAATCATACACTTCATGTATAAATAGGTTGTAATATCTCCATTCCAATTATTGAATACACGGTTTCTACAACCTTAAAGGTCAATAGCCATGATCAGAAAGTGTAGTACTAGTACATCATCTCTTAATTATTTATAAATGTAAGGAAGAGCTTAGCCCATGATATATGAAACCATGCCCTTCTGGAACTGCGAATTACTACATGCACTTAGCGTGCATGCATGACTTATTAATATTTCCATAATTCATATTCAATCTTCTTCTTCTTCATTGTCCGTGCCGCCACGACCATGCGTGTTGCCAACGTTGAAAATTCCGTTGTGGTCTCCTTTGTTTCCACTGACTCGGTTCCCAGAAACTTTGTACGATGTACCACTAGAACCACTTTTCCCATTTTTACCATTCTTGGCCTTGGGACGTCGAGCAGGCTGCAGTGTTGAATACTCTTGGTTAGAGTATCCATAATTAGATCGAGATTGAGGCTGAGGCTGAGGTTGAGGTTGAGGTTGAGGTTGAGGTTGAGGTTGAGGTTGAGGTTGAAGTTGAGGAGCGTAGTAGTTAGTATATTCATGCGACTGAGGCTGAGGCTGAGGCTGAGGTTGAGGTTGAGGTTGAGGTTGAGGTTGAGGAGCGTAGTAGTTAGTATATTCATGCGACTGATACGAAGCACGAGCAGGTGGAGCAGACTGCGCTGATGGATGGTTATTACCGTAGTATCCATAACTATAATTTGGTACTGGAGGAGGAGGACCATAGTTATTGTAACCTGCAGGAGGAGCGCCAAAGCTGGGATTGTATGTAGGCTGAGGGGACATAGGGTCTGAACCATTGGCGAGCATGCTGCCACGGTACAAGAGGGTATGTGACATTGTGTTGGTTGGAGGCTCAAAATTACTTGATTTCTTGTTTGCTGTAGTCACCGATGCAACTATCTCGTTTCTATATATAGGAGATGGAGTGGGAATATATACCAAGTTGCTTGCTTAATTTCCAAGCTATTTTTTGTGGTACGTATACATTTCTATCATGTATATAATCCACACGTGCTAGTGGAGTTGATCACCATATCTTATAATTTGGATAAATCCAACAAATAGGCAATAATAATTGAGTTAGCAACTTGTTAAATCACGTTCTAATGAGTATTGATACGATGATCAAATTTTATTATAGAGATGAAATCTACCAATATAAGTAAGTCACACTTTTCTACAAAAGATAGTACAAAAATGTGTTTTTTCGTAAAAAATAACAATAAAAAATTAGAATTCATGCTAAAAAATCTACATATATAAAATTATAGTAAATTGTAGCAATGGTTTCTCAACTTTAATCAAATTGGAGCAATGGCCTTCAACTAAAAATCCATTACAATTGATCCCTCAACTCATCAAAATGTGTAGCTATAGTCATTTTCGTCAACTTCGTTAGAATTTTGTCAAAATAAGTTATGTTGGAAGGACCATTGCTATAATTGGGGTCCCTCAACTCATCAAAACGTGTAATTATGGTCATTTTCGTCAACTTTGTCTTTTGTCAAAATGAGTTATGTTGGAAGAACCATTGCTACAATTGAGTTAAAGTTGATGGACCATTTCTCCAGTTGGATTAAGGTTGAGGGACCAATGGTAATTAATTTTTAGTTGAGAGATCATAGCTACACGTTTTGATGAGTTGAGAGACCAATGGTAATGGATTTTTAGTTGAGGGACCATTGCTCTAATTGAGTTAAAGTTAAGGGACCATTGTTACAATTTACTCATAAAATTAATATAAAAACTTTGTTCAGTAGAAGCGTACCTTGGTCTTAATTCACTTTATGTAGACATAGATATGAAAAATTATTATGCGGTACCGGAACACATTAGGTGGTATAACTAATCTACTCATAATTTAGTTACTAAATGTGGATTGATTATTAATATACTATACTCTAAAATATAGTGCTCGTTCGGAAGTGCTTTTAAAATGACTGAAAGCGTTTTTGGTGAAATTATTTTTTGTACCAATCCTTAACAATAATGCAAGTGAATTTTGGAAAGCACTTGAAGTGTTTTGTTGCAAGAAGCACACACCTAATGCTTCTTGCAGAAAGCACTTCAAGTGTTTTTAGAACCCAAAAACATTTTTTCCAAAAGTGTTTTCAGTCATTTTAAAAGCACTTTCGAACGAGCATTCCATCGGATATTTGGACATATGGATTAGTTGGATTAGTTCTACCATGTCTTGTCTTGGTGCGCTACAGTACAATACGATAATTTTTTTCCATAGATATGGCATAATTTATTTGTGACAGTTTACTATCAGTTAATTAGACTCTCAACTCAGCGAGAGATAATTGACACCATTATGTGGTATAACAAGTTCACTCATGTTGAGAATGTAAATTTTACATTGGACAATTATATGATTTTACATGTGCTTATAAGAAGTTAAATTACTCTGTTTTATGATAGAACTTCAACTTCATGCATGATATTGGAATATATTACCCACGTGTTGAGCCAAACAATCCACGTGCTCTCACGTCACCCAACATGTGTTTTTCATGTGTTAAATTTAAATGACTCAGCCATGAAGGGCTTTTTAAGAGTCTGAATCCATATTAGAAACTAAGAAACCTTACATATGCTTATAAAAAGTGATATTACTCTCTTTATATGTTGTTCATGAATTTTATAATAAAACCTCAACTTACTTATTCCATATTATTATAACACGTGGATTCGTTTTTATTTAATATTACATTATAACATAAACTCGTCATCTATACATATTATATAAGGGGTGTGCTATCCACACACCCCTTTTTACTTCTCCCACACCCCTTCTTAATTTTTGTCATTTGATCTTCTTTAATTCATCCGATCCGACGACCGAAAATTAAAAAGGTGTGAAAGAAGTAAAAAATGGTGTGTGGATATCACACCCCATTATATAATGCATGTATCGAGTATACCAAGTAACAATGTTCTAACAGCATACAATATATAGTTTTTCCAACCTAGAATGCAATTAATAATTTTACCAACACGATCAGTATACCCCCACATGATATGGGCATATATACTAATTTCTTCTTTCCCTTTTGGACTTTAGTCAAATTTTAGGCGTACCATCAACACTTCAAAACAGATATACGAAAGAACTCTACCGATTAGCTCAACAGTACTTTGAAAGTTATCATAATATAATCTTCTTATATTTCATTTTCATATCAATAAATTTTTCTCGTACGGTGGATGTTCTAAACAAACCTTCTTATACATATATTAATTAATTAAGGCACATAGGACAGCAGATGGTTTTATTGTGGTGTGGGAATCGCTGGAACATAATGCATATGCAGCGAATTGCCCTAATATATTCACTCTTCTTGTTCTTCTTTCAAGTCACGACGACCGTATTGGATGCCGACTTCTTCTTTTTCTTCTTTGTCCTCCGCATGGCTTAAATCACGAAAACTGTATTTGATGGCAATGTTGTAAGTCTTATGATTGTCCTCTGTGCTTTGGCTAACTCGATTACTGCAAACTTTATACGATGTTTGTTTGACAGATTTTTTGCTTTTCTTGGGCTTCTTGGGCTTCTTGGGCTTGGCGAGGAGCAAGCTGGGATTGATAGTTGTCGCCCTGCCCATGTCCGGGATCTGGAGTAGTACTACTACCGTAATACTGAAGATGATCATCATATCCATACGGAGGAAGAGGAGGTGGTGGTGGAGAATATTGAATTACCATATATTGATTAGGAGGCTGGGCAGGATGGTAATCCGGATAAGGATATGATTGTCCAGGAGTAATGCTACTGTATAACATTGACTCTAGTCTGCAGCGCTCGGACATGGGGTTTTCCTTGTATGATCGATTTAGTTGGAGGCTTGAAACAAGAATTGGTTTAATTTTGCCTGGTCCTGTCTCATGAATGATATGCTATAACTTTATGGTTATTATATGGATGAAGAAGAGGAATCCAATACGTATAAAGCCTTAGCTTAATTCCCAAGCTAAACTACTGTGCATATTTGGAAGGTAGTATATTGGATTGTTGACCCTACCAGTAGGAGTTCTTGTTAATCGTACAACATTAGTTCGTGGCTTCCAACATTAGTTTTGGGCCTATTTTGGAATTCTGAAGATTCAAAAACATGGCTATCTTTTTTATGGGCTGATTTTCTAGTCGGAATAGGAATGTAATTCCTAGTTATCCTTTCGTTATTTTATTTCCTAGTTTTTAGAAAACCTTTTCTATGAGGGTTTTAATTTGGAGTAGTATAAATAACGCTTTTTAGCCATTAGGGTTAGGGTGAGAACGCACGCATTATTTTGGAGAACTTCAGACTTTTTAGCTACAAGGTGTTTTAAAACCTTTTTCTAGTTAATACATTTTCTTTAGTTTTTATAGTTGTTCATAACTAATTTCCGTTTGCTAGGGCAAAGTCATGAGCCTTAGCATGAATATGTGATTTTATTATTAATTTGCTTATGATGCATGATTGCTTTGAATTATTAATCACCGCGATTAAACTATCTAATTGTCTTAATAATTCGCCACCGTTAGGGTTTTTAGACAAGTAATTTGATGCAATTTTTGTTGGAACATCAGCCTGAAATTGAAGAGGGCTTCTTGTACTTTGTTTTCAATAATTAATTAAGAGTTGGTTTTAAACACAAATTATTCATTCAATCTCTATGGAAAACGATCTTGCTTGAGCCGCTATACAACAACTTTGCACTCTTGTAAGTATTTTTAAGTGTTTTTATCTCTACTTTTGCAGGTGGTAAAAATCCTATCAAGAAATTGACGCCGTTGCTAGGAATTGTTTTAAATAATTTGTGTTTATCATATTCTTAGTTAATTATTTTTGTACCTAACTTTTTATTTTTTATTTTATTTTTATTTTGGCAGCAGTGAGGCACGGCTGAATGGCAGCAGTGAGGAAATAAGAAAGGCACGGCTGGAGCTCCATTTAAATCGCAGCTCGTTAGGGTTCCCATCAGCACGTGTGGTCCGTGTGAAGAGGCTCAGCAATTATGTTGTTCCAGCAGGTCATGGGTTCGATACTAGCGCGCTGCACTTTAGTGCTTTCTTTTTCATTGTTTTTCCTGGGCCTTTGTTTCTTGCACCATGTCGCCACTTCGAATCCTCCCCAGGTGCATTCTTTTCCTTCTTTTTGTTTTATTTTCTGTTTTGTTTTATTTTATTTTTTGTTTTTAATTGTCTTTTATTGTCCGTTTCTTTCGTAATATTAGCTATTGTTTATTTTTATTTTTATTTTTATAACTTATTTTGGTTTATTTTTATTTTATTTTCCACACCTTGAGAACAATGTGTGATTTAAGTTTCGGGATGGAAATAGACTTTTTAGGTTTTAAATTTTTGAGTCAAATAAATTTTTTTGTTTTTAAGTTAATATCCATAGATGATTTTAAACCTTAGAACAAATGGACAAGGTGAAGATTAATCTCATAGTAAAGTCTTTTTTATTTATAACTTTATGGTTATTATATGGATGAAGAAGAGGAATCCAATACGTATCAAGCCTTAGCTTAATTCCCAAGCTAAACTACTGTGCATATTTGGAAGGTAGTATATTGGATTGTTGACCCTACCAGTAGGAGTTCTTGACTATTGTTAATCGTACAACATTAGTTCGTGGCTTCCAACTTAGTCATGCATTGTGAAATATTTTGGCTAATGTTAATTAGCTTTTTGTGAATCATGAGGATTTACTTTTGAATGAAAATGTTATAGAATGTAGTAGCTAGCGTATACGCCGTATATTGTAACTATTGTAAATATGTTGTAAAATATTTAGTTACAAGTTATTATGTTACTCTTGAATCATGTATATTTCTTTCGTTGGAAAGAAATTTGGTTTGTATTTTTTATTGACTCTCACTCTCATCCAATAATATTAAT